CCTGGCCACTGTCTCTGAGCTCTTCAGCTCAAGGCTAGTGCTCTACCACTTGAGCCTCAGTGCCACTTCCAGCTTTTTCTGCTTATGTGGTACTGAGGAATGAAACCCAGGGCCTCATGCATGCAAGGCAAGCACTCTACCACTGAGCCACCTTCCCAGCACCCCCTTCATTCTTTAAAGGTATTTCCTAGGAGTCAAACTGAAACTCTCTTTTCTTTTTTTTTTTTTTTTTTGGGCCCGGTCGTGGCGCCTGAACTCTGGGTGTGGGCACTGTCTCTCAGCTCTTCAGCTCAAGGCTAGCGCTCTACCACTTGAGCCACAGCGCCACTTCCGGCTTTTTTCTTTTTGCTCATGTGGTGCTGAGGAATCGAACCCAGGGCCTCAGGCATGCAAGGCAAGCGCTCTACCACTGAGCCACCTTCCCAGCCCCTGAAACTCTCTTTTCAATGCACATTCTCTCTTAGTTCTCATCCCTCCTATGGGTTCACATCCCATTTCTGTGCAGAAGACTCCCAAACCTACATTTCTAGATCCAATCTCTTTCCACCCTAGCCACACCCATTGCTAAATCTTTGTGGGACACTACCACTTGTTCCATTTTTAAATTATTTAACAAATCCTTTTCTTTAGGCCAGTTCCTCCTCCTCCTAATGACCCTTTTCTATTGCTGCCATCTGTGTCCTAGTAACTCAAGTTCAAAGCCTAATTCATTCATTTCCTCACCTTCCCCTCTTCATGTCCAAGTTTTCCCTTTATTGCTTTAAATCGTATCCCCTACTTTATAATTATTTTCCATTCATTCCTTCCTTGGTGCCTGCATTCATTTTCCCTGGTATGGATTACTACAATAGCCTCCTAACACATCCCCCTTTCTACTCGCTCCCTTAGAGGAATGCACTCCATTAAAAGTTTTGTCAAGCCAAGCACTGGTGGCTCATACCTGTAATCCTATCTACTCAGGAGGCTGAGACTTGAGGATCAGGATTCAAAGTCAGCCCAGGCAGGAAAGTCTATGAAACTCTTATTTCCAATAAACCACCAGAAAACCAGAAGTGGCGCTGTGGCTCAAGTGGTAGAGTGCTAGCTTTGAGCTGAAGAGCTGAGGGACAGCGCCCAGGCCCAGAAAAAAAAAAAAAAAAAAAAAACAACCTTTGTCATATACCAACCCTGTAATCACTTTCCACTAACTGTATGGTTTTGAGATGAAATGTCCCCCTAGAAGGGCCATGTATTCAAGGCTTGCTCCCCAGCTAGTGGTGCTAATGATGGACGATTGAATCATGTGGGGCACTGACTTCATTAATTGTTTTATCCATAGATGAGCTCATACTGAATGGTCACTATGGGCATGCCCTTGAAGGTCCTATCTTATCCACAGCCTCTTGTGCATTCTCTCTGCTTCCCAACCATTCATGAAGTAAGTAGCTCTCTGCTTTGCCATGTTCCCTAGCATGATATTCTGTCTCTCCATGGCCCAGAAATCACAAAACCAAGTGACCGGGGCTGGGAAGGTGGCTCAGTGGTAGAGCGCTTGCCTCGCATGCATGAGGCCCTGGGTTCGATTCCTCAGCACCACATAAAGCAAAAAGCCGGAAGTGGCGCTGTGGCTCAAGTGGTAGAACCTAGCCTTGAGTTGAAGAGCTGAGGGACAGCGCCCGGGCCCAGAGTTCAGGCCCCATGACCGGACTCCCCAAAAAAGGGAAGAATACAACAAATGATCTTCAGGTGGGGCTGGGAAGGTGGCTCAGTGGTAGAGCGCTTGCCTTGCATGCCTGAGGCCCTGGGTTCGATTCCTCAGCACCACATAAGCAAAAAGTAAAAAAGCCAGAAGTGGCGTTGTGGCTCAAGTGGTAGACTGCTAGCCTTGAGCTGAATTGCTGAGGGACAGCGCCCAGGCCCAGAGTTCAGGCCCCACAACCGGACCCCCCCCCAAAAAAAAACAAGTGACCATGGACTGAGGCCATGAGCCAATGTAATATTTTGTTCTTTATCAGGTTTTTTTTTTTTTTTTTGTTACAAGCAATGGAAAAGCTAATATACCAACTAGGAACTTGGTTCTCACTACGGAAGTCTAATGCCTCAGTCCTGAGCTTTTTCCAGATCATATACACATATGGTTGTTGGCTTCAATGGACACCAGGGGGCAGTGTGTAGCCAGGCTCCAGGCCACACCCCGTTTAGGACAATGGGGAATAAAGACCAGAGACCTGGAAGTGGAGTGGTGAATCTTGCCCCCAATGTCTTTGGCCTCGGTCCTGAAGTTCTTAGGGATGGATTACCATTGCTAGTCAGATGTCCATTTCCCAGAATCTGAGAGTATAAAGAGGCTCGAAGAAGGGGCAGCTTCTCTTCTTTCTTGCAGGAGTCACAGCAGAGACTCCACCCTTGCCCTGCCTCCAAACACCTCCCCAGTTACAATCCCCAGCTGCAGTCCAGACCGGAAGGGAGTCTTTTCCTGCTTATTTCCTGGAGCTGAGTTTGGATAGGGGCAGGAAAGGCCCCTCCCTGCAAGGAAAGAGTATAGGGGTGCAGTAGAGGTGGAGGTAGGTGAAATGAACAGTACAGTGAGAACATCTAGATGCTTCCAGTTCCATCTTCCAGAGTCGAAAGTCTTAAGAAATGATCTGGATTATGGGAAGGACACAGGCCCCACTAGGGAGGGGCCATTGTACAAAAAGAATTTTTATTTTGAAGATTACAAAATATAATTATACCATGATCCTACCTGGCTTCCATTTCTACCAATCCAAAGATCTGCAGCAGGGATGAGGGAAGGGCAGAAAGGAGACGTAACTGGGGGGGGGGGGGGTCATTGTTGGCAAGGGGAGAAAGATCACCGTTGAAAAGCTTGTGCCACATTAGGCCTGGGCCTCGTTGTCTTTACTCCTCCACACCACAAGAGTGACAAGGAAGGGGATGAGGCAGATGGGGGCTATGATCATGGCCAAGAGTACATCCTCAGGAGGATCAGAGAAGGTAGGTTGCATCAGGGAGCAGTTGGCAAAGTGAATCAGGTGAGTCTTAAAGATGAACCTCTCTGCCCAGGGATTGGGGAAACCCAGGCCAAACTCCTCTGCGTTGTACTCTAAGCAATACTGCAGGTCACTGTAAGGCCTGAGAACAGTAGAGGACTTGAGTGAGTGAGGGAATGGGTCTAGGGAGAGCAGTGTCCCCTATTCACCCACAGGGAGGAGGCCCAATCCCTGGCCTGGCCTGAGCCAACTTCTAGGACTGCCCCTACCTGCTGATTTTGGTCCAATCACACCAATCCTTTTCAATGGAGTCCATTAGAGTCTTATAATTGTTCCAGCAGTGTAAAGCATTTGTCTCATAATCCTCCACCATCTTTCCTGTGGATACAGATTTTACACAAGGATCACACCCCTGGCCCTCCCTCCAAATCCTAGGGCTCGTGTACTTTCAAGGTGAAGCCCCTGACTTCAATTATGGGAGCCCCTACATAAGTTTCCCTAACAAGACATTTGTGGGTGAGGAGAGCTTCCTGCATCTGGAAGTCCTTAATGACTTCCATGTGCCCATCACTTCCTATTCCAGCCTTAAAAGCTCTTCCATACATACACCTTGTCTTGGTTCTTCTTGCCCCCATGTGGGGAGGGCCAGCTCAAACCAGGCTAGGACCATTGTGGGATAAGAGGAGGAAAAGATCACAAAGAACTCCAGAAGAGAACAGGGAGTTTAGTGGGGGCACCCACTGGGGCTGGGTCTCCCTTGTGGGAAAGAGATCTTGCCTTTGAACTGGCTCTCCTTTTGCCTTTCACAAGAGAAGGCTGTGGTCACCCTCCCATAGTCTGGGGGTACCCACCTTCTGACATCAAGCTGTCCAGGGTGGGTAAAGGCTGAGCCAGAGAGTCCTGAGGATTCAAGACAGCTGTGGAAAGAAATTAGGGGGGAAGGGTGGGGATGGTGGGAGTCTGGGCCTGCATGAAAGGGTAGGAGCTGAGCCCCTGGTAAGTTTGGGCCACCTTGGTAGAGGGAGAGAAACAATCCATCTGGGCCCAAGGATGACTTAGTGGCAAGAAGGGGGTCTGGGGGTGGGGGCTGGAACCAGCTGCTTCCCTCTCGCTGCCGGCCCCCACCCCCCTCCCTCCTTGCCCACCCCTGGCCTCCTAGGACTTCTCCCCGAGGCCCTGGCCCGTGCCCCAACTTTTCCAAAGTGGGGAGCCACAAGCCTTCAGTCGCCCGGAGGTGGAGCCCCCGGGGCCGTCTGAAGGACAGCTCAGCTCCGCACGTCGGTCCGCACCCCGGGGCCCGGTGGTGCTGGCCTCAGCAATCCAGCCTCCTCCCCGCCCCCTCCCCGGGGGCCTCCCACACCTCCCACCCGGGTCCGGGACGCCGTGCTCACCGCCCAGCAGCAGCAGCGGCAGGAGGAGGCGGAGCGCGGCCGGC